CAAGGAAAAGAAAACATGAAGACATCTGCTCCTTAGGAGCTCACAGGCTAGAAGGAAAACAAAACATGAAAACAAGACACTGGAAGCCGGGCGTGGTCACGCACGCCTGTAATCCCAGCACTCGGGAGGCTGAGGCAGGAGGCAGGAGGATCGGTGCGAGTTCAAAGCCAGCCTGGGCTACAATGTGAGCTCAAGGTCAGCCTGAACTGCATAGCGAGACCCTGTCTCAAAAAAGACGAAAGAAAAAAAAAAGAAAAGACGACATTGAATGTATATGGCAGAAAAAGGAGAATTGGCGGTAACGGTCCGGGGGCCTCAGATGAAGGACTCTGAAGCTGGGGATTTACAAATTCCGTAAATGTTTAGGGAGGACCTGCTAGGGGCCAGGCTTGGGTGGAGGAGTGGGGAAGCCCCAGGGAACATGCCAAACATGGTCCTGCTCTCATGGAGCTTACAGTCTAGCAAAACAGAAAAACCAGGACTAGGAAGTTCCAGGCCACTGTGCAGGTACAGGGTTGGTGAATACGGCATATTTGACAATACATGTACTTCACTCAGTCAAACACAATGGTATCTGTCTGAAAAGTTATTTAAAAAACAGAACAAAACAAAACAAAAAAAACAACTGCAAGTTGCTTGGGTCATTCGAGCTTCCCCTCCTTTCCTCTGTGAGCCCGGGTAGGCAGGAGGACCTGGGCAAGTTTGTTCCTTGGCTGCTTCGGTAGTCTCAATCTCTAAGCTCCTCAAAAGTGACATTCTCACTAACAACTAAAAGTAAGTTAGCTTTGCACAAGACCCTAACTGCAGGCCAACTACTTCACCTGCGCTCACTGAAAGCAACAGCGAGCTCTTTCCACACAGGCAAGAAATGACTGCAAGGAACTCTGTGATGCTCATCTTCAATATGGTGCCCGCCGTGGGTTTCCAGGAGGAATTCTGATGATGCTCAATTTTATCTCAGGCACTGACATTATGTTGTAAGATTCCTTCATGACAGCAGTGTGACATACATGCTATTCCTTGCTTCTGGAAATTGAGGACTGCTTCCTGGAGAGACCCCTAAGAGCTCAAGGCTGAGGTGACAGGACGAGGACCGGGAAAGTGTCACCGGGAGTGTGCACTGTGTTCCATCTGGAAGGCTACTGAGATCGAGATAGATCCAGGGAGCCAGTGGTGTGGTGCATACCTGCAATCCCAGCACTCTGGGGGACAAAAGCAAGAGGATCACAAGTTCAAGTCCAGTTTGGACAATTTCTCAACTTAGTAAGACCCTGTCTCAATATTTTTTTTTTTTTTAATTTTAAAGGGCTGGGTTCAATGCAAAGGCCCTGGGTTCAATGCCCAATACCCCTGCCTCCCACCCCCAAAAAGGACAGATCCAGGGAACTAGTGAGCAGAGGGCAGGGGAGAACAGGCCTAGAGGCTGGGATCGTAACCAGCTTTTATGAGCTGTCGACGGAGTTTGGACTTATTCCAAAGGAGATAATGAAGCTCGGGAAAGGTTTCAAGCAGAGGAATAAAAAGATCAGATTTACATTTCTAAAAGTTCATCCTGAGCACATAAAAAGATGCCCAATATCACTGGTCATTAAGGAAGTACAAATCAAAACCACAGAGATACCACTTCACGTTTTCAAAAAAGTGTTCCTGAAGATATGGGGAAACTGGAACCCTCATACACTGCTGAGAGGAATGTAAAATGATACAGCTGTTTGGGAAATCAGTCCAGTAATTTCTCAAAGGATTAAAGAGAAGCTTATCAGCTGGTCATGCTGGCATATGCCTGTAATCCTAGCAACCCAGGAGGCTGATGCAGGAGGACCACAAGTTCAAGGACATCCTGGGGAACTTAGATACTGTATCAAAAATTTTTAAAAGGGCTGAGGATGTAGCTTAGTGGTAGAATTCTTTTTTTTTTTTCTTCCAGTACCACAGTGGTAGAATTCTTGCCTAGCAAGTGCAAGGCCTTGGACCAAATCAAAACGTTTCCATATAACCCAGCAACTCCACTCCTAGGGATAAACCCAAGAAAATGCCAAGCATGGGGGTGCATGCCTGTAATCCCAGCACTCACATGGCTGAAGCAAGAGGACTGCCACAAGTTCATGGCTAGCCTGGACTACATAACGAGACCCTGTCTCAAAAAAAAAAAAAAAAGGCAGGGGGAGACACATATCCACAAACAAGTATATAAATGTTCATAAAAACCTATTCAAAATGGTCAAAAAATAGAAACAACCTAAATGTTCATTAACCGATTAATAGATAAATAAAATAAAATGTGGTCTATACAATGTGGTACACAATGGAATATTATTCTACAAAAAAATGAAGTACAGATACCACAACATGGGTGAACCTTGAAAATGTCTTAAGTGAGAGAAGCAAGTCACAAACAAACATGTAGTATATGACTCCATTTATCACAGATGTCTAGGAAAGACAAAGCCACAAAGACAGAATGATTAGCAATTGCCAGGGGCTAAAAAGAAAGAATGAGGGGTGACTGCTAATGGCTGCAAGATTTCTTTTTGGTAATAAAAATGTTCTATAATTGATTATGGTGATGGTTGCACAACTCTGTAAATATACTAAAGCCCACTGACATGTACGCTTTAAATGAAACTGCTAACAAGAAAAGTTCATCCCAGCTGCAGCGCACAGACTAGAAAGGGAGAGTCAGGGCAGAGGGAGAGGGTAAGACACTGGCTGAAGCAAGGAGAGATTCATGGACCAGACTACATACAGGGGGCCGGAGGGGTGCTAACGCACTGCGGTAGGCTCCTCCGGTTCTCCTGGGTACCTGGTATTCTCCCAGGAGGAGAAGGGAAACAGAAATGAGGTATCTGCGATTATTATCGAGCAGCACAATTGTACTTAAAATCTCCTGCCCGCCAGGACTGAGGAACAGCACAGAGTGTGTAGCCCTACTGCCTGCATGTACAGGAAAGCCTGGAGTAAAAGCACGCTGAGCTGCTTGCCCAGTTGTCTGACTGTCCCCCTCACTCCTAACTTCAGAGACAAGGTGGCCATTCAGGGCATGCTCAAAAATGCTGCAAAGGGCCAGGGATACAGCTCAGCGGCACAGCGCCTACCTGACAAGCATGAGGTTGTGAGTTCAATTCCCAGTACCAAAAAAAAAAACGCTATAAAACCTGAGTGGCTGAGTGCAGGCCAGAGAGTGAGGTGAGGAAGGCCAACCACTTTAGGAAAAAAAAAATCCTAAAGCTACCTTTTTGGGTTCTCTGTGCTTCTGAGAACTACGAGTCTTCTGAAATGGGTGTTTTCATGGTTAGACCAAAGCTCCAGTTTTGAATGCACATCACCCTGCTTCTATAGTCTTCCCTTATCTCTAGCAGGAGGCTGGCAAACGTTGAAAGGACACGGGGCAAAGGAGCCTGCAGGTGGCACAGCGTCAGGACTGGGAAACGAAGAGGGAAGCCTATGAAGGGCATTTCCTAAGCCCTGTGGAGACCACGGCCACTAACCCCTCAGCAGAACCAGACACTGAACAGGTAAAGGATGAGTCCCTGCCCACAACCTCATGCCTGCTGCCCTCAGCTATCTCGACTCTTTGGCCGCCTTCAACAGAAAGGAGTGCTGGCCAGTCCACTGCAGCCACAGCTGTGGGAAGAGTAAAACAGCACTGAGATGAACCAACAAAACCAGAAGCTCAGACCACCCCACTCACTGCTAGCTGGGGAAACCAAGGCCCAGGTCCATGCAGTAGAGCTGGGGGTGGCATCCTAGTCTCTTTACTCTCAGGCCCTTGTACTTCTCTCCCTAACAACCCCAGAGCCCTTCGCCTAAGAACCTGGCTCTGAGCCGCGTGCTTCATGGGGCAAGAAGAGCTGAAATCTGCCAGAGGCCTTAGGTCTCAGCTTGCAGAGACACCAGTGTCACCTCTTTCCTAGACTCCTGGGAACCTGAAACACAGCATGGGGCAGGTAGGTTAAAATATGCTCCGATGCGGTTTTCATCACAACCCTCAAGTCTCAACCCTGTACTTTCTTAGTTAACAACTGCTTTGCACACATTCATCTGCACCAGTGTAGCCAACTCTGAATGTGCCGTCAGCTCAGCCACCAGTAAAGGCTCTAGGATGCGGGGTTGCACTGGCTGGAGAACAATCCAGGAGGTGCAGAGCGTGACACCACGAAGGGACAAAGGCTCACCAGCACCTCTAACTCCCATGCTCTAATTAATTGAAGTGAAACATTATTTTCAAGCCTGCAGAAGACTACAGAATTGAGTACTTTAAAATAAAAATCAAATGTGAAGACAAAACAAAACATAACAAAAAAATTACCTCCTTCTCAAGGTACAATATCCTAAACAAATTTAAACAAAACATTTCTGAACATATTACTTGAAGGTCTTCAGCCACAACTTGGAAACAAACAAACAAAATTATCTTCACTTCTAAAGTGATAATAAACAAAGTCCCATCTCAGATGGATGGATTTTTTTTTCTTTTTTTTTTTTGCTACAGTGGTCAAAAAGCAAGGTGAACGCTATATACAACAAAAAGACCATACAATTAGGATCATTTAAAAATAATGAGACTCCTCTCTTTACCTTCTTCCAAAGTATATAATATATATTTAACAGCACAAAAGAAGACACCACTTGAGTTTCCCCTGTAGCCAACAGGAAGAACTTCCACATATAAAAATTAAAAATTTAAACTTCGAAATCATTAATAATTTTAAACATAATACATACACACTTAAAAATTGTTCAGCATTAACCCATGACCCCAAACCTAGCACAAAAATCAACCCCATATCCGTAGGTCACAGTTTTTTATTCCTAAAAATCCCACAGCACTGAACTTGATCTTCACATCAAGCTGACAGCCAATATGAGAGTCCCCAACAGAAATCCCAAGGGAGGAACGGAAGCGCGATTGATGCTGCATCTCTTATCTACCTGGCCAGCACTGGTGCACCTCTGAGGTCAGGTCCGTGACAGTCGCCCCCACACTAGGATCTCGGAAGGGCGAGCTGGCAGCTTCCCTCATCTTCCCCCTCGAAGTCTGTCCGATAAGCACCTGGGAATTGACTTTTCTTGGGAAAAGGGTGCTGGTAACAGCTGTCAGGGCCAAGGCAATAGTGAGAAGTTCAGTTCTCTGCTCTTTGGATGAACTGTGTAAAACATTTCTTTTAAAAGACACAATGTTAAAAATATTAAGAAAAATGTCTACAAAATCTGGAGGGCTGCCTTTTTCTCAAAGGATAAAGCTTGTGGGGTGGTGGGAAAAGAATTGAGGGCCCAGAACTATAACTGCAGCAAAAGAGAGATGCCCTTCAAAACTGGTCACATTCTTAAGGTGTCTTGCTAAAGCAGCAAGAGCTGAGGGAGACTGTATGAGTAGGAACGGGAGGGGCACCAACTCCAGCAGGGGAGGTTCCTACTGCACCCCACCCTGTGCAAAAGTGTTAAGCCTTAGGGCAGCTGCCAGAGGCCCTGGGGACATCAGGATTCTGCCTCTGAACCAGAGCTGCTTTCCCGACTAACTTCAATCTGGAGAGATGGTAAGTTATCTAACCGGCTCTTCTTTTGGCGAGACTGTTCTTTCTCCTTTATCAGAGCCCCCCATGCCCTTTGCAGCTCAGAGTCATCTTCCTCCATGCCAGGCGCCCTATGATCCACTTTCTTCGTATTCTTCTCTTTGGTCTTGGGTGTAGATCCTAAACGAGTCCATAAGCTACCTGTTTGGGTGAAAAGACATTTCAGTTTGCTGGCCACTGAGAAGCAGCGCGTTCTGAGGAAGCAGGAGTAATGCCATCACACGACATGCGGAAAACATCACTGCTCTGTGGCACTTACAACTACAGTGCAGCCTTGGGTAGATAATCTTGTAAGACAATTGCAAGCTTTATTTATGCAGAGTACAGCAATATAGGAAAATGACTAAGGTAAAATGCTGAAAAAAAAGAGTAGGGTGTGTGTATGGAGAAAGACTGAAATACATACATGAAACTAGAAAGGATTTGCGCTGAACGGAAGGAAGCGGCAGTGTGTATTATTTTCCACTTCCTAAACCTTCCTGTTAGTGTGATGACGATGATGACCAGGACAATGATAATAGAAGAGGAAAACTCATTCTGTTTGGCTTATGCCTCTTCCAGCCTGTACTTCTATACTATTCCCACTGTCCTCTGTTATTTCCCAATTCCCATTCCCTTCAGGTCCATGTGTCACTCACCTGATTTCTTCTCCCGAGTATCAGAGTAGAGGCCTTTAATGTCTTGCCTGGGAACACCTAGTCTACTATGTACATCTGAAGAGGGCTCTCTCCGGACCACTGGGATACTACTAAAAGCCTTCTCTGGAGAATATGGTCTTTTTCCTAACCGCTGGCGTATATCTGGAAAAAGAAAGAAGCGCTACCATGACTAAGCATATGTGCTTTACTGGCCATACTGTCCAGCTGAGATCGCTAAAGGACCTAGAACCACATGTCCCCAAGTGAGAACACGGGACCTGACACACTGGGTTTCTAAAAGCCTTCTGTCTTTGTCATGGTCGGGATTCCCCTTCGAAAACTGAGATGCCAGGGCTATCAGAAAGAGAAAACAAAAACAGAAACCTTGAATTTCTGAAGTAGAATCACTTTTTTTTTTTTGATAGAACCCAGCAAGACTCAGTAACTTACAAAAATTTCAGCCTAATAAACAATACAAGCTCTCCAAGGGCAGCATCAATCTCTGAAAACGTAAATAGTTCTCAACAACCCTAACACATTTAACCAGTAGCTGTAATGAGACTGGCAAAAAGCAATGCCCCAAACCAAATGTATTTCTTCCTCCACCTGCTCAAAGAGCTGCCTGTCCTTAAGTACCGTTTAACAGCAGCAGCAACACTGCCAACAAATTTACTAGCAAGGCTGCCTGCCGGGGCCCTTTCCCATCTCACCTGCTAAAAATAAGGTTTGCCAACTGACATCCTATTCCCTTCCAAAGGCCCAACTCTAGAGCCACTTTCTCTAAGAAGCCTTCCTTCCACAGTCTCCCTGGTAGACCTACCATGGCTTTGCAGCCCTACAAAGACTTCTCACATGCCAGTTCCTGGACCAATGCCTGGTATGCAGCAAGCACAGCCACATACCTGCTGAGAGTTTGTAGGCATAAATAATCTAGTTCAAACTCAATCATCTACATAACCTCCCAACTCAATTTCTATTATTCTCATACCCAAGGTATACCAGTGATACACACAGTAAAACAACTGTTGCAGACAAAATACTGAAAATTAGTTTTGCTGAAGTCTGATTATTTCTTCTTATGGAATTCCAATGCCTACCCCAAAATTTAGCTGTGACGAGACAATTAAATGGATTCAGAATAGCAACATGTTATCCAAGAACCTAGCCCTGCCCCAATTTGTTCTCTGGAGCTCAGAATGAACTCCAGGAACACAAAGGAAGAACAATACCTGATTTAGTATTGCTGACTGGTGGCCGTGGACGTGAGTATTGACGTTTTTCATCTAAGAGGTGTCGGACATCTGAAAATTTCTCAGGTGGCAATTTGTTACCAATTCGGTTTTTGATATTACTTGAGGATATACTATCTGCTCTCATGGAGTTCCTTTTCAAAAATAAAAAAGCAGTTATCCAACTTCAACGGTAAGACAATATCCAAATAGTAATCTCATTTTTTTGAGAAAACCCAATCTAATACAGTCTGCATTCACTTACAAATACTACTCACATCCCTTTTTTTTTCCAGTGGTGCTGAGGGTTGAACCCAGGGCCTCACACATGCTATGCAAGTACTTTACCACTGACCTACATCCCTAGCCCCAAGAATATCAGTAATAACTTGCTTAGGGAAACCACAACCAACGTGTTGTGACAAGGCTGGGAGGGCAAGCAGGTAGTGCTGTTTCCAGGGCGGATTCCATGCGGGATACCCACACACTGTCACAGAGCTCCTAACTACAAGTCCCCCTCCTCCACAGACAAACATTAAGAAGAGGCGTGTAAGGCGCTTGGGGCTCTCTGCTCACCCAGGCCACAATCTGGTTGTACTCAAAACACCATGGAGTGTACAATACCCTTCTTTAAAAGGCAGATTTCTCTGCTGAGGAGATCTGCTGCCATGCGAGGCATAAGCGCTGCTCTGTCAGCACACTCTGTTAGGGAGTTCTGTGAACACTACAACTAAAGATGTGAGTAGGCCATACAAACAAATCACTTTAAAAGGCCCTTCCTTTTCCCCCAAATACATGACCAAAACCATCCCAGAACATCCCTAAAATCCAACCCTTAAGAGTTATGGATATACTACCTGCTTCTGTGGAATCTGCTGATCCCCACTACTAACCAAAGAAATTCACATTAAAATAACTATATGTTTTTGTTTTTTCATGAAATCAGCAAAGATCAGGAATAATGGTAATACCCAAGATTGATGGTGACACAGGTAACAGGTAGTAACCCACCCCCTGAAAGGAAATCTACCGATACTTCCCAGCTCTTCCTTTAAAACAATGAATTACATAGGATTGAGAAAAGTAACAGATGTTTACATTTTATTACATAGGAAGGCATACTGCAAACAGTATATATAGCACAGCTTCATTTTTATACAACTATACCTATATGGTTTCTCTATACATTATTCATACGCATAAACGGTTATTCACACAATTACTAACAGCTGTTACTGTCAGATAAGGCTGCAAAACAGGTGATTTTTGCTGTCTGTGGGTTGTTCACAGTTCAGATAACAAGGACCAGTGCTTGTACAGAGGAAAAATGAGATGCTTGTATTCAGCTCTTACCAAGGACTGAAATTAGAATAAATAAAAGTGATTATAAAATTAAAAGGAATTAAGTTTACAATTAGCATTTAAAATCAAATTAAAGAGCTGGGGTTTATCTCAGTGGTAGTGTTTACCCAGCAAGCACAAAGTTCTGGGTTCAATCTTCTGTACCATATTAAAAAAAAAAAAAATTAAAGCTAGCATTAATAAGTTTTTACCTTATATTTTTCAACTGAGATTCGACTTCATCAGCATACATAGTCATTTTCATGCTTTTCTTTGGTGAGGGAGTAGAAATCATTTTCAGTTCTAGATCATAGTCCATTTCATCTGAGTCTGAGCTGCTGGCGCTGGACCGCCTAGACATGCTCCGCTCCCGGGTCTGCTTGAGAGCTGGAAGCTCCTCATGGTATTCTACCACCACCCTGTCATCTGCATCCATGTCTTGGTCTTCTTCCTCCTCCTCCTCTTCTTCCTCCTCAATGGGTTCCTCAGGAACATTCACTAATCCTGAAAAAATTTAACCAAAAAATAAGAAAAGCTTAAACTAAAACAAGTATGACTTTCTATTCTATACTGGTGAAAAAAAAAAAAAAAAATCCCAACCTGAGATTCTATTGCAGCACAATTTATAACAATGGCAAGCTGGATACCATCCTGCTGCTTCTAACAGAATGGTTAGGGACAGTTTGGTCTAGCAGCCTAATGGAATGCTATTAAGCCATTTAAAGTATAAGTCAATCTTCATTATTCACAAGTTTTATAAATGCAAATTTGCCAAATTCATTTATAACTCCTAAATCAATACTCAAGGTAATTTCAAGAGCATTTGTGGACATGTACAGAGCAAAAGAAAAATTTGAGTCCCTGGAGGAGCTTGTTCCCAGTGGAGGTCAAGAAAAGCAGCACTCTACCTTTTTGTCTCATCTGCCACAGTTTAAGAAAGTGTCCTTTCACAGCCTGTTTACTGCCACATTTTTCACATTTTTGTGCTTTTTGTTGAATTCACTGTTTAAAATGACCCCCAAATATAGTGCTAAAGTGCTGTCTAGTAATGTTAAGTGCAAGAAGGTTGTGATGTGCCTTACAGAGAAAATATATGTGTTAGAGAACCTTTGGATCTAACTTATACAGCTATTGGCTGTGAATTCAATGTCAGCGAACAATATATATTAAATAGAGCATTTTTAAGACAGAAAAATAAAGTTACATATTGATCAGTTCATAAAAATAGTGTGACTAGACACTGTATGGTTCCATATTTCCTAATTAAATGCCCACAGTGACTTCATAGCACATAACCACACAAAACAATGAAATTCAACTATTAACATTAAAGTTCACAGAAAAATGCTTGTAAGTAAAAAAACTGAAGATAAAGTATACAGTTACAAGGACTGTAATATTTATTATGAGAATAGACAAATGAGAAGATGAAGAAGTTATTTCATTAGGGTGCTAGAATTATAGGCAATTCATTTTTTAATGCTTCAATATAAACAAAAAGAACAAATGATAAAAGTATCTGAAAGTAACTAAAACTGAAAGTATAACTGTGTAATAGGATTTATATGCAAATTTTAAACATACAATTCTGTACATACGCATTAAATAAAAATGTATAGACTTCATCTCTTCCTGTCCCATTCCATTGATACTTGTGTGTGCATGTTATTCTGTCTGTATGCTGACTTGACTAGTTCTATAAAGCATGTAGAAGATTCCACACATTTAGTTCAAAATAAAGACATCTTTATAAAATATAATGAAAATAATTCTTTTATAATATGCTCAAAGAAGAAAAAAAATTCAAGTCATGATATCCCACATTTCTTAGGCATTCACGTGCACAAGACAATAAGCATAAAAGCATTCAAAATAGCAGTCTATTTTCATTATCAGAAAAGGAACAATAAAATCAGCCCATTTGATATAGTATTTAAAATGTTTTGCATGCAGCTGTTAATATTAATAGTAGAAAAATTAGGTTTCCAAGAAAACTTTTAATTTGCCCTACGTCACATTTGGCCTTTGTTGCTATAACAGCTTTAATAAAATCATTTGACCTCTTTGCACGGGCAATTTAAAATTAACTGTGACTTGACTTACTTTCCTATATGTTGGCAGAGGGTGAGGGCAAGGAAGAGAGGATGATAAAGTTTGGAACCTTAAAAGACTGCATTAAGAATAAAATTATGATTTCGAGAGCCAAACATGTGTCTACCCAAGAGCTGAGCAGGCAACTACCAGAATGTCGGTGCTTATATGACGTCAAGCCAACATCATCCCCAATCAGGGCTCTCTTCTTAATCACATCCCGCTGAATGCGACGGGAATGATATCTTCGCTTCCTGGAACAACACCAAAATAAGTACATGATCAGAAACCAGCAGGGAGGATCTTGAAATCCACTAATTCATTTCAACTACATACTGACAGTGTTAGACATTGAAACATACATCTTTTCAATGAAACCGAAACATATTCCTATCATGTACCACAGTTAAGAATCTTGAATCCTTCCCTCTTGTCTTTTAGTTCACTTGAGGTTTTGAGATTCTACTACCAATTACTCACTGAAGGATTACAGAAATCTTAAGTTCTACTTAAACTTGTAATATAAGGTTTTGGACTCACCAAGAATTGCTAAGAATTCCTTTCATGCCTCCATAATTTGGATTCCCATATTTCATGTAATACTGACTTCTCCTGGCTGCTCCAAGTTCCTTTTTGTCATCTAAAAATTAATTGTAACAGTTACCTAGGATTTCCTGAGGACAGGAGACTCCATAGCTGGCATCAGATCAGTGCCTCCAAACAAAAAGGAAAAAAGCACTACAAATATTCCCTGAGTATGAAGGAAATAGAGCAAAATACAGAGATGAACGAGGTTAAACTGCTGTTTAGGAGTAGACTAATTTATCACAGGAAATACTATTAAAAATACACAACAGAGGGGGCTGGGGATTTAGCTCAGCGGCAAAAGCGCCTGCCTGGCAAGCTCAAGGTCGTGAGTTTGGTTCCCGGTACTGGAGAAAAACCAAAAAAAA